ATGAGCAATGAGCAATGAGCAGTGAGCAGCCCCTCCCTAAACAAAGTGAAGCGCAGGACGGGGTCCGGTGGATGGGAGGCAAGGAAACGCGGGGGGTTGCCACGTGCGCTACCGCCGCCGCCGCAGGCAGCACCCCTGCGGCGGCGGCAGCGGCAGCAAGCCGTGGACCCAAACGCCGTGCCGCCGCCGCCGCAGGCAGCACCCCTGCGACGGCGGCGGCAGCAAGCCGTGGACCGAAACGCCGTGCCGCCGAGTCCCGTGGCTGTGGCCTTCTGGCAGGAAACTACGGCCGCAGGTCGGCAGCACGGGGGCGTCGCAGCGTGCCGCCGCCGCCGCGCTGCCCCCCGGGCACGGCGGCGGCGGCGGCAGCAAGCTTGGGCCCAAACGCCGTGCCGCCGAGTCCCGTGGCTTGCGACCGTAGACCGTGGGCCGGAAACTGCGGCCGCAGCTCGGCGGCACGTGGTTCTGTTCAAATCGCCAAGCGTGCAGCAGCGCCGAACCACGCTTCCCGGCCTCGGCGCATGCCTTCAGGGGCCCCCTATCGCTGGGCACACCCCTCCAACACCGAACATGCGCCCGGGGGGGGGAGGGCGGCCCGGGTTGCCCAGGCCAAAGTGGGCCGCCCTCGAGCAAGAGGCGGCCGGTCTGTGTGCTGAATGAAGCTTTGTAGGCTAGTAATGATTCTGGAGATGTGCATGCTGCTGCCCTGCTTGGCTCTTCCAGGCAGTATTCACAAGTGCAGTTTGCCTACCACCCCTCCTGCAGCGCTGCTCCTCTGGTGCCTCTTCTGTCACAAGCGGCAACGCTGGCCAGTAGATCCGGATTTGGAGATTGGCATGGGCAGTCCATATGAGAAGCCGCCCGATGAGGCCACCCTTCACAAGCAGCAGCAGTTCCTGGTGTTGGGCGCTGCAGCAACAGCTGGAGGGAAGCAGGCAGCACCAACCCCAGGGGTGGCGGCCCAGGGTGGTTCATTCTGGGCCTTTGGATACAAAATCACTGGGGCTGGGCGAGATGGTTGGGCTCCAAGTGAGCAGCGCCAGGCGTATGGCACTGATTCTGCTAGTAATGACGAGCAGCTGAAGGATTATGGCAGCATTGAAAACTGGCTGGAGCTATATGTCATGTTGCCCTCGGGCTCAGCACCCAACTACTTGTTCTACAACGATCAGCCCCCAGGTGGGTGTGGCTAGCGGGATGGTCGGCACTCACCTTGCTGACTCACCCCCTCGCAGGCCCAATAGCCGTTAACAGTGTATGCCCCGTCCCTGCCAGCCTGGCTATGCCCAGCACTGCATTAACCCGCCAATGCTTGCCGCCCGCTTCCCGCGCGCAGGTATTGAGGGGCAGCATCGTGGATGCGGGCATGCCAAGGGTGTCGTCATGTGGAACGAGAACTGGGTGGGCTGGTTGGTGCACTCCGCGGCCGCGGCTAAGAAAGGCCTTCTTTGAAGGCGCTGGAGCTAGTGTCTAAACCCTCCGAGAGGGCACAGGTTCGATTCCTCCCATGTCGAAACTTTGTGAGGACAAACGCGGCATAGCTGACCGGCTCAGCGCCAATCCAAGCCAATTCCTTCGGGAACGCCTATTAGAATCGCCAAGGCTTCGGCACAGGCCTCCCCGGGACCCATTCACTACTAGTGGAGGGTACTGCACTTGGCGCGTCGGGCAGATCAGCAAGTGCGCCTTGAAACGCTGCCAGTGTGCTGCCGCTTGGCCCTGCGCCGGGCCGGGCGCTCCGGGCTGGGCTGCAGCTGTCAGCGCAGCTAGCGCGCGCCTGCCCCGCCTGCGTCTGAGCCGCCACTCGTCCTTGGCCGCATTTTTTGGGCCGCGGCTAAGAAAGGCCTTCTTTGAAGGCGCTGGAGCTAGTGTCTAAACCCTCCGAGAGGGCACAGGTTCGATTCCTCCCATGTCGAAACTTTGTGAGGACAAACGCGGCATAGCTGACCGGCTCAGCGCCAATCCAAGCCAATTCCTTCGGGAACGCCTATTAGAATCGCCAAGGCTTCGGCACAGGCCTCCCCGGGACCCATTCACTACTAGTGGGGGGTACTGCACTTGGCGCGTCGGGCAGATCAAATAATGGTCTAAAGCTAGACGTTAAAACCGGGAAGTTAAGCCTGTGGAGGCTCTTCCCCACCTTTACCTTTTACTCTGTGCCATATTGGCCACTGCCCGACTATGACTCGCCAAACGGTCTGTCCCCAATATTGGAGTCACAGGCCAAGCTTGGCCAATCGTTCCTGTGGGTGCTGCTGCCGCGGGTGCAGCTGCCCAAAGTGCGGGACCAGTTGAGGCACATGCAGGTGAGGATCAAGTGGCCAGCTGCTGCGCGTGGTGTGGGTGGCGATGCAACTGCCCGTTCCGGGTCCTGCAGCCCACTCAGCTGGCCGCTGAATGGCTTACTGCAGGTCAACGTGTACTACTGGCCGCGGCTAAGAAAGGCCTTCTTTGAAGGCGCTGGAGCTAGTGTCTAAACCCTCCGAGAGGGCACAGGTTCGATTCCTCCCATGCTTGCTTGTGTGGGCTTAAAGTCTGGTAAAGCAAGAACTAGCTTGCAACATAGACTCCCCGCCGAAACGGGACGGGAACCGGGCGAAAGCAGAGAAAGCAATAAAACAGGGGTGGAGCAAGGCGACATGCAACGCAAGCAGCTGACAGGGCACGCATCGAAACGTGTGTATGACTGGCAAAGTGGCATGGCGCATTGGGGAGAAACGCAACGGTACGGGAGCATGGGCTGGCCAAACGGCAGTGCGGAACGCTAGGTCACTAGAAAAGCAGGGAAAGGCGCACTATGTATGCAATGAGGGCAGCCCCGGCTCGGGGCCGTTGAGAAAGCAGTGGGCGGGAGGGGGGAGGCCCCGGTGTGGGCGGGCCCCATCGAGGGGGGATGGGGCGGGCAAGCGGCCAGATGGGGCGGGGCGCGGGCGGCAGTAGAGTCCTGCGGCTGGGTGGGATATAGGGCAATGAGCGTTGAGCAGTGTGCGATGAGCAATGAGCAATGAGCAGTGAGCAGNCCCTCCCGAA